AACTTTAACTTTGATTTTTAAAGTAAAGTTGAAAAGTGATTTTACTTTAACTTTAAAGTTAAAGTTAAAGTGCTTTACTTTGCTTTAAAATTTTAAAGTTAAAGTTTTACTTTAAACTTTACCTACTTTGATAAAGTAAAGTTAAAGTTAAAGTGTCACCCCTATTCGAACCAGTTGATTTCGGTGGAGATGGTGACGGCAATTGTGCATGCAAAACAATGGATGGAATCTGCTTTGGTGTTGGTGAACGGCAATGTTATTTCATCGGTGGTGCTCGTATTGTTGAGTGTGTATCTGGCGGAAAATGGGAATCGGCCAAGAAATGTCGTCGAAACTGTGATTCGAGAGAGAGCGGTCGAATTCCTTTTTGTAAACCATAAAGTCGATTTCGATGTGTGAATTTTGTATCGATTGTTACATGTTGAAAAATTCCTCTCAGTTCAGAAGTTACGCTTACGTGAATGCAACATTTTGAAATAGATGAAAAGGAAATAAATTAACCTAACAAGATAATTAAGCTCTTCAATGAAAATATCTTTAGTGGTATTGTTTAATAAGAAGAAGAAGAACAAATCAAATCTTATTTTTGCATATTGTCGAGGACAGTAGATTGGAGAATGATTCGGCTGTTCATATATTAGACCTCGATGTTTCTCGATTGCATTTACACTCATTTATTTACTGTTTGATTTACCAGTGTAACACGTGGACTGAATATGTCGAACAATTCAAGTTACAAACATATCGGACTGAAATCGAAAGAAGAAAAGAGAGTGCGCAACTGGATTTTCGTTGTTTTCATCAACTGAAACGATATGAAATCTAATCACGTAATCTTTGTGTACATCGTGTATAAAGATCGTCGAGAACATCACTGATTGCATTTTCATCCTTAGTCGACGAACTAAGTCGTAAAAGCAGTAAGATGAAGATGGATATTCATTATGAATTTTCCTGTGGAAATTTTATCTAGAAATGTCTTGCTGTCGTGTAGGTGGCCTTGCGTACTTGCTCGTTGTGACGGCATGCTTTATTTTGTCAGAATTGCAAGCTCAATCCATGCAAGTAACATCGACAGATATTATAAATGTCCCTATTTCGAGCAAAAGTATGTTTGAGTCGATACTGATTGTTATATAAATTGAAATGTGTAGAAAATGGAACGGAAAATCATTCTAATGTTCATAAATTAGCGCGACGAAGATCCAGCTCGGACTATGCTACAAACACACAGGAAAATTCTGACTACGGACGAACAACTGACGACAATTCTGACTATGGTGGACCATATTCAGAGACGAACAATCGTGATGATGATTGTGCGTGCAAATCAACCCAAAATATTTGTTTTCCAATTGACTCCCGACAATGTTTCTTCGTCGACCATCCTCAAGTTGTTTCATGTCAACGCGGTGGAAAATGGGAACTCTATACGACGTGTCAAAAGACATGCGAAGCGCGATTAGGGAACCTTGCTGTTTGTGTAGATTGAATTAATCGAATTCATGTTTTTCTGTATCTGTGTGAATATTAAATGAGATGACAAAAAACAATCGAATACGTTTTTTTCTTTGTGTGTGTGTGTGTAGTATCGCAACATTGGAGGAAATGAACATCGAGAATCTAATGTATCAAATAAAAAAGTCTTTCTATAAATATTTCGTTCCATGCCTTCAAGGAAAATTCAAATCGAATTGAAAATAGTTTTACAGAGGATGATTGTTCGTGTAAGTTGTGTTGATGCTGATGTATTTAATGCATAACAATAGAACAGAAAGAAAGAAAGGAGAAACTTGTTGTGTACATACTGGACTAAAATCGAACGAAAAAGAAAAAGAAAAAGAAAAGTGAATGTGACTGGATAAAACTACATACAGATATACCGTTGTTTTGTTTCCACCGACTGAAATGATATGAAAATCAAATCGTGTGATCTTTGTTTACATATCCTATAAAGATCACCAGGAACATAATTGATTTCATTTTTATCTTAAACGTACAAGTCAGATAACAGTAAGCCCAAGAAGAATATTTCATATGAATTTTCCTTCTGAAATCATGTTTAGAAATGACATCTTATTGTCGTGATATTTTCCTATGTTTGATCGTTGTAATGGTATGTTTTACCTTTCCACAAGGTCAGGTCAATTCAATGGAAACGTCATCGACCAATATTATGAATATTACTATCTCGAACAAAAGTATGATTTTGTTGCTTTGATCGTGCTAATGATTACCATGAGAATTTGCATTTGTAGACAATGAAACAGAAAAGCATTTTGACGTTGAAAATGTAACAAGAACCAATACGCGTGAGTTATCACGAAGATATGACGATACTGACGTCGAAGAAACTAAAAAGAAACCCAAAGCCAAAGAAGATCCTTACACGAAGAACTTATTGGAAACACTCAAAAGTATGCGGGAAAATCCTCAAGGTCTCAATATTAAAGAATTCTTGGCAGCAGTCAACAAGACAAATGAAATGAGGAAATCGACCACCACCACCACCAGCGAACCAGAGAAGATCGATAGGAGCGGTGACCATGATGACACCGACGAAGTGAATACCTTTACCACAACAGAAACGACTGACAATGAACACGAGGGAGAAGATACTGACGAAGATGAGATCTCGACTACAGCGCAAAATATCGACGATGAACATGAGATTGAAGGTACTGATGAAGAGAAGACCAGCACTACAACAGAAACTGGTGATGATGATCATGATCATGAAGATACCGATGAAGAAACGACTTCTACTACAACAGAAAATACCGACAATGAGCATGACCACGAAAGTACTGATGAAGAAACGACCTCTACAACAACAAGTAAGCCAAACACGAACGGCGAATATTATTATGGTGGCAACGATTCAAGTACTTGTACGTGCAAAACAAGTCTTGATGTTTGTTATCCTATTGGTGCTCATCAGTGCTATTTCAACAATGGTGCTCAAGTGGTCCGATGCGATATTAGTGGAAAATGGATATTTTTCAAAGCATGTCCAAAGTCATGCGAATGGAAAGGAGGAAATATGCCTCTTTGCACTGATTGAAGTCTATGAGTTATTTATCACATGAAAATGACTAATTAATACAGATTCTTTGGATGTATTCACACAAATATTTATTGAGTGTAATAAAGAATAAAACTTTCACTTGACAAATCATTTGTTTGTTTTTACTAACAACAGCAGCAGTTGGATACACGTCAGTAATGTTGTTGAAAGCACCGGCTGTACTATTGTACAAAATTCAAAACGAACGGCCAGTTTATAGCCTGACTGGACTCGACTTTGTATTATTCGTAGTACACTTTCTTCTCAGCGCGTGACACGAATGTAACGCGATAACGGCCCATTTATCCCTTGATTAGTTCGCACGTAATTTTCATTCAATCGTTACGCGGAACACAGGTGACTCTTCGATTGATTTTCAAGAGTACGATGGATTAAAATTACTTATGTCATTGAAACAAATGAAAGTTGAGCTCATGTGATCGACGATGCTGCAAGTTCTCGTCCATCGAAAAATTTCAATCGAATTTTGACTTATGCCATGTAAGAATTAAGAGATCGTCATATGAAGTTGTCTTGTCAATATTGCCGGTATCCATTCTTTGTTTGAAATCTACGGTTCATAACGACGTCCGGCTAATACTTTGAATCTAGAAATCACTGAGAATGTTTTTGTTCCTTATACTTCGATGTTGTGACGGATTTGTTAAGTAAGCAGCATTTGTAGTATTACACAACAGACGTCTTTGCTTGCTTTGCTCTATCGCGGTTATCTCAATAACTATCAATACATCACTATAATGGTGAAGCCGTTTTAATGGCTTCTGTGAAATTCGAAATGGTTGTTAATATCATGCTCATGAATATGAGAAACGGAAATATGATAAAAATAGTGTCTCCTTTACGTACCACATACGTATCGGATGAAAATCATCGACTACTGACGTTAATCTTTCCCTGTGCAAATGTTTAAGAATGAAAAGAAGCTGGTTTTGTCATTTGTTGATGATCTGCTCATCAAATAATTAATATATTCTTGTAAAATGTGATAGCAAAGAGGATTAAAAAGAGCCGAGAGTTTTCTTTGTTTTCTCTCAAAAGTTTAATTCATTTGCTGAAGGTAAAGAGGACTTTAGGAAAGGACACATTAGAAACATCTTGGATAAGTTCTCTCTCTCTCTAAGGATAAACATTTTGTCGAAATCTGAAAACAATTCCGACCGTTTTTCACGATCATTCGCGTCAAAAGTTTTCCTGTGCAAAAAAAGCGCATTATTCATTTGCAAGAACTCATTTTATTTCATACACGTACTTTCTACAATAATTAATTTGTATACAGGCTATAGTACTACTATGTCATCCGACGATATTTTAATTCAACAACTCAGCACAGCCGCAGTATTAATCTTCATGATCTCATCGGTGGTTAATTTTATCTTGGGTATCGTCGGTCTGACGTTTAATGTCTTTGTCTTCGCTCGACCAACCCTGCGCGGTCAACCGTGTTCATTCTATTTCTTATCCTCAACACTCTTTAATTTCTTTGTTATATTAATCATCATTCCAACACGTATTCTCTCGAATATTTACAATATCGATCCAAGTATATACAACGAAGGCTACTGCAGAATTCAAACGTATGTATTTTATTCTACTCGAGCAGTATCTTGTTGGCTGATTACCCTGGCAACAATCGATCGTTATTTACATAGTTCATCGAATGCATCATTTCGTCAAATGAGCTCGTTGAAAATAGCAAAATTGGCAAGTGGATGCACGAGCTTATTTGTTTTCATTGCTTATAGCCACATGATCGTTTACTACAGGATTAGTTCTAAAACAGACCGATTCGGTAACTTTTCGTCACAATGCAGTGGCCCACCAGGCTCTTACAGTGTATTTCTAAGCGTTTGGCATATGATATTTTATTCGGTTATTCCATCATCCGGTATGCTCATATTCGGCTTTTTAACAATAGTGAACGTTCGTCAACGTCGACAGATTATTCCGAAAGCGATAGAAAATCATAAAAATACAAAACGGACCGATTCGCAACTCCTACGTATGTTAACAGCTCAAGTATCAATGATCATTGTATGCACTCTACCAGTCTCTGCTTATCGAGCATATTCGGCGTCAACTGCGAGCGAAACGAAAGGTGCATTGCGATTGGCACAAGAGAACCTCGCTGCTCAAATTGTTGCCGGAATAACTTACTTTGCACATTCGACAAGCTTTTACATGTATACACTTTCCGGTACGATATTTCGTAAGGAGTTTCTGAAAACAATTAGACGCAGTCAGCATTCTAGTCATAATCAACCGCAAATGAATGATGCCCAAATACATGTAAGATCTATTTTACAAGAGTCAACAAAATGCGACTCCGTCAAACAATATCATCGTCGTAAAAACAAATAGTGCATAATAAGTGTTTATATCGACAGTGACTGAAATATTCCAGCAGCTTGCACCAGTACTCAAACGATGCGAGAGACGGTTTTGCAATTAGTTATTATTTTTCCGAGTTCGGAAACTTTCGTGTTACTTATCTGAGTATAATTTGTATAAGAAAGTTTTTAAAATAAAATATCAGGCTCGAAATAGCAGACGGTTCACTTCGTACTTCCTCTTCTTACCTTTCTTCTTATCGACTTTGAAGTTCATAAGATGCAGCATTAGAAACAAGAACTTGATGAAGATTTTAATTAATATTAATTTCTTCGTTTTTTATGGAAATTGTATCCGCAGCTCGACACGGAACGAATGTTACATATTTATTATCGCGTATCAATCCTATCTCTGCATCATATTAGCAGTATTCAATGAACCGTCAGACAAGTCAATCGATCAGTAATCATTCATACCTTTATTCTTTCGTTTTCGGATTAAAAAATACGATAAATCTCATATTATCAATATTGAAATTTCACTACTTATGTATGAGCTTGACATTCTTACAGATTTAATCTTTCTACTCGTGACTATGAGTTTCGCCGTGTCAGGAACACACGCACGTCAGTATAGCCCTAGTTGAAGGTTTATATCAATTACTCTAATGAGATCATGACAAGGCTCTTTTCTGCCTGTTGATGATGGATCGCAAATTACGCTTGCATCAGCGTAGTATGACGAGGCACTTTGCTTTAGTCACATATAAATTGGATTCATACGTCTTAGCTTCCAATCCATTTATTTCTTCTTAATTCAAAGACATGGGTAATTCTACGAGTAGCACAACATACTCTGAGTCACGATCAAGATCAAGTAATTCAGAAGTAAACATTTGTATATTCTGCTACCATTTGATTCCACACATCATATTTTAGTCGTCAACGAGGGATGGAATTGTTCTGTATGGTCTACCATTATCACCAAATACACAGCGTGTGTTGGCAGTGCTCGCGGAAAAAGATTTGAAATATGAGTTTAAATCGATTAACATCATGGAGAGTGAGCATAAAGTAAGATAAATTGAAAATACATCAATATTGAAATGAGTGCAAGTTTAGTCACGGAAATATTTGGAAGGATTACAGCCGTTTGGACTCTTTCCTGTGTTGATTGATGAAGATGGCTTCAAAATCTATGGTAAGTCGTATAAGAATGAAAAAAAAAGGAAATATATGTCAAATATTCAGAGTCACGGGCTATCTGTCGTTATCTCGAAGAAAAATACAAAGCCAAAGGCACTCAATTGATTCCCGCTGGGGATATCAAATCCCGATTTCTCTTCGAGCAAGCAGTCAACATCGAAGCATTCAATTTCGAACCAGCAGCTATTGGTATCATTCGAGAGAAATTCGTGAAAAAGTAAAGGCTTTTCTGTACACGTTATAAACATTTTCAGAAGAATATTCATTTGAAATAGAGTGCTTGGACTAGGAGAACCTGATGAAGACAAAGTAGCAGATTTAAGGAAAGAATTGAATGCTAAATTGAGTGTTTACGAAAATATTCTCAGCAAACAACCATATATGGCAGGACAAGTAAACAACAAGTTCTCATACTATTCATTCTTCTTATTCATATTAATTCTGATGATAGGTCTTCACTTTAGCTGACCTATTCCATTTACCGTGTATGGCCTTGCTATTCAGAATGGGCGATGGGGATTTGATTGAATCGAAACCTAATATTAGAAAATGGTGGGAGAAAATTTCAGCAAGACCATCATGGAAAACTGTTGAAAAGATGATTTCAGATGCAAATCAAAGAATATGAAAGTAGTTGTTGTGCTTATTAGTCGTGTGATGTTATAGTTCGTACTTGTCTCATGAATGGATTCTTTTTTTCTTTACAATAAATATTTCACTTTTTTTGGCTGTTTCGTTCATCAGATCTGTTCATTTGGTAACAACCATCTCATTAAGATTTTCAAAGAAAAATGAACAGATTCATTTCTGATATTGTTGCATTTGTCTGAGTGAGTGATGATGACTGAGATTTGAACACAGAGCACGTTAGTAGAAGAAAATACGATCCACCATGCACTTCATGTACTTGACAGTGTCAGAAACGCGGCGATGATTTCATCTCTACAAGTCTAATATTGCTACTCTAAGCATTTGTATAATTTCACTGGAGAAATCGTACCGACTACAAAGGTTTCTCGCTAAACAACTCAGTAAAGAGTATTTTCGTTGGCAATCTTTAGACGAATACATATTAGCTATTTCTCACTCTTTTCGATTAATCTTGCAGCATTGCATCATTTTCACGTGACAAAAGAAAGCTTGTATATTTTTTATTAGCTATAAATAGCAAATGTATTTAAAAAGATTGACAATATTCATGTTCACCATCGTGTCTTGATTAACCGAATTGCAATATCTTCATCACGATCTTGTTGAAAGAAGTCTTTGAGATTATAGTTTACATAACCATTTTTACGAGCAATTGCTAAGACTTCAATCAACCTATCCACTTGGTCATTTCCGTACAACTAAATTTATCCCATTAATCTTTCGCATGTCTATAGTTTCCTGTGCACTTACTGGTATTAATTGACCAAATCTAATTTCCATAGAGAAATCACCTTGTTGTCCATGATTTTTAACAATCTGATGAATACGCTTAATTTCGTCCAAGACATTATATTCATTTCCTTGTTGACTAGAGAAACAAAAGAAAATCAATGAATGCATCTGAAATTCATAACAAACTTCGATGATGATGAAGGTGTTGGAGGTGGCATTGGCGTGTGCATTTCAGCTAACTTTTTCTGAAACTCTGGCTGACATTTCACTAAACGAGTTTTCGGTTTTTGATCTTTTTCATTAACATCTTCTGTGCTCGACGAAGCCATTACAATATTACGGACTGTATAGTCAATGCCAAAGATAATGTTAATATGCGTGTAACATACAAAGATATTTTTGTATCATGAAAGGAAGAAAAGAACTTGAGAATGTATGTCTTTTCCTGCTTAGATAAACTGTCATTTGCTTTTCTTTTCTCTTCTCTTTCTAGATAACACGAATAAGTATATAACTCGGTCGAAAAAAAAATCGCGTGTGTCGTCATTCATAAGCGACATCTCTTGTACATATACAATCGTTTGATTATGTTTCACACTGATAAGTATGTTTAAATTAAAAATTATAATCAATCAAAAATACATATGATTCGCAGAAATAAGATTGCTGGCCGCCTGTTCGAAGCCAATCAATATTTAGAGCCAACAGCGAATCAGAATTGCTATTACCCGAATAATTCACCACATAAAGAACTGAGAGGAAAGTACCCACGAAAATGTCAACAAAGAAAAATATTTACTTTGCTCGTCATGGTGAACGTATAGATCAAATTGATCCATCATGGAGTAAAACAGCACCAAATCCATCTGATCCTCCATTGTCACCTGATGGTATTCAACAAGCAAAGGAACTTGGAACATACATTGCTTCGCTTCAACCACGTATAACTCATATTTATGCTTCACCATTTGTACGCACGATTCAAACGGCATTGGAAGTCGTTAAACTAGTCAATAAAGACTATTCAACACCGGATCAAATCGTCAAAGTTCTCATCGAGCCGGGATTTGCTGAGTTTTACGTAAGTAATCCCGAATGGACGGAAGCGAACATCTTTCGAACTTTAGATCAATTATCCGAGATTGTTCCGAATAGGGATTATTTCAATGAAGATTATCGTAGTGTATTCGATGCGAAGTATTATCTTGATTTAAAAATCGAATCTCGTGAACGCTTACGTGATCGATTAAAACGAGTTTTACAGAAAATATTAGACGCTCATAAAGATGACTGCAATATTTTGATTGTTACGCATGCAGCTGCATTGATTGAAGGTGTACGAGCATTTATTACACTTAGTAAAGAAGAACAAATGAAGATTACGGCAACAGACGAGAACACCAAAGCGTTGACTTGGGATATGACTTCAGTTCGACCTGGTGTGTGCAGTTTAACACATTTTGAATTCCTAGATGATAAATGGAATTTGAAAACTAGTGGACTTACTTCGTATTTGTCCAAAGGTGAACAACGCGTATGGGTCTTTCCTGATGATGAAACAATCGATACACAACGGAAATAGCTGGTCACCAATAATTGCCTCCGATATTTGTGAAATCATGGTTTTTGTGCTTCCGGCATTCCAGGACGTTTTATTAAGCTTATTCTTTTATAATTTAGTGGAATTATTTATATGCGATAACACGTAATTGTAATTTAGACATATTTTTCAGTTACTGGAATACCACTACAGTTATTTCACATTTTTGCAAAAAAGTTAGGTTCAAAGTGATGATATGAATGAATCTTTCTCATCCTCAACAAAATATATCATGAAAAAACACTGTTTTGAATACATTTGAAATAATCTGTGTTAGAAAAATGGTAATTTGATCATAAAATGACTTTCATCATCTAACGGAACAAGTTCTGTTTTACATGAATTCGTGTATTGTTTCAAAATCGACACAGCATGTTGAAATTCTTGATTGAAATGTTCACCATAAATCAAATCAATCGAACAATAAACTCCACTAAAGATCAGATTTGTTAATACAATCGAATCGTGTCCTTCGATATCAGTTTTCATCATAATTTTCGCTAATGGTAAACCTGATGGTATTTTTCGAGTTAAAACTGTTCCTCGAATCCATGAAGCGATGTCAATACTTGAAACTATAATCTTCGTTTTATTTCTATTTGGTAATAAACTTGAACCCCATTGATTATACAATGTGTCTTCCGATTGAACATAAAATGCTTGACTTTCGTTTGTGATACTTACTGCAGTCGAAGTAAAGATTTTCACCCGATAATGTCGTTTTAAACAATAGTTTTCAAAGTCTTTCAGATATTCATCATGATATGGATTTGCTTCAAAACCTACCGAACAAACTTCTTTATTTCGACTACCGAATATTCGTGTGAATAATGAAAATACAGATGAATTCGGATATAATTGAGGTTCATATAGTTTACGAATTTGTACACCAATATTTGTTCCCATATCAATATACACAAAACGACAACCATCAAGAAAATTTCCTTCAGATTCCGATAACATTGGTAATCTTTCTTTTCTTGATTTAATTCGATTAATTCTTAAGTTTTGTAATGAATAGATCAGAACAAAAACAATAAGAACAAACACACATATTCTTTTCAAAGATTTCATTATGAATATCGAATTCATCGATTAACAAATCTTTATGAAAAGATTGAACTAACCTGATCGATTGTCATTGTCATCTGTATGTTTCTTTTTCATCAACTCAAATTCTTTTCATCAAATGCAAATTCATCAGTCTTTTTTTGTAAACGAACATGTGCATCGAATTATTTCTCTTTCCAAACTTTAACTGAATAAACATCACAAAAAAAGTATTTCTTTTTCTTTCGCATCAAACCAAACCTATTACATTTTCACCTTTCTTCTTTCATACCGAAGAGAAATCGATCTTATCAAGATTACAACGAATGTGTTTGTGCGTTTTCGTAAGTTTTCATTCAAGACAAGGAAGATAGTAATGAGAAATCGTCAGACTTTCATAAGAAGTTGAATACATCGTATATTATTGTGCAACAATACACATAAATGAAATCATCTTTTTCCATTTCATCAAAAAAAATGAATACGAAAGATGAATGGGAAGAGATTATGACTCAATCACATTGTTGGCAGAATTTGTTTTTCACGCAATTTTGTTGTGAAGAACACGAAATACCACATGACGTCTGCCTACACAAGCTCTCCCATACCTTATTGGGAACAGATTTGGTGAAACTATCACTTTAAATATAATCTAATGTATACTAAATGTATCTGTTCATTTTTCTTATTCCACAACTACATATCATTCCAATAAACTCGTACTCTATACAAAATGATGACCAAATTATACTTGATTCTTTTCATTGTGATGACACTTTGTCAAATAAGTTTAACCAGATCCATGGGTAAGTTTACAAAGTCAATTTCAATGTGTAATCGAAATATCATTGCTCCTTCCTTTATAGCAACCGGTAATAGCAATCATATCTCGTCAATGCATCCTACTGGAACAGAATACAAAAATACTCAATTCCAATTTTCAGTAGTATTACCGAAAGATTGGCATTCGAGACAACTGGCGGACGTACTCAAGAAGCATGAGAGAGATACACATCCATTTATAATCCGAGACCACAAGTCAGTTGGAGAGCAATACAAAGAAGTAGTGTCAGTTTTTATCTTCTCCAAGTACAAGATCGACAGATTCGACGGCAAATCAAACCCAAATATCCAAGCTGTAGTTTACAGTGTAAAATCGGCGTCGGAAGCTTACGCTAACTGTAGCTTTTTACGTCTTGTTCAAAGAGATATCGAAGCATCGCAGAGAAATAAAGCAATCCTCGCAAATGATATTATCGAATTTGCGGATGACTGTGCAACTTTTGGGCTGAATGGAATCCTTTACGCCAGTCAAAAATCTCACGTGAAAACAAATCAAATCATACCGATGGTAAAACAGGATAGATTTGCAAGACTTATAGACGAAACTCATGTTCTTTACATGGTATTGAACTATTCCAATGAACATAGTCGAGGTCAACTATTGGCCATCATGGAGAGTATGAGATATCCTGGGAAGACGTGAACATCTTCTTCTATGTAAAATAAGAAAGAGTGTGCATAAATATTTTTTCCTCAGAATAAATTTCATTTTTATTTATTCAACAAACAGAATTCTTATGAATAGCTTATTGCTCAATTTGTTTCGCGGCTAATTTAAAACCATTGTTCTCTTGAACAGTCCGACTAAAGGTTTACCAGCGTTTCATTCATTCATTTTTGTATCGTTCAGCATATTTTCGATAGCGTCGTTCCTTTGTTGATCGGTAAATGCATATGTATTCAGACGAATACTAAAATCTCATTCGTGTAAGCGTTGTACACTATCGTATTGTTTGACAGTTGTCCAAATAGTGTTTTACTGAATTCAAGTAGTTCTTTATTGATGAAATCACTTCAGAAGGCATCACTATGCTTTATTTCGTCTGAAGAAAGATTTTCTGTAAAACCGTATCGAGATAAAGTTTCCTTGTCAAGAAAATTGGATAATAAATACGTATTTATAGTCCATTTCGAGCAAAAGATTTTCAATGCCAATACAATTATTCATTGAACCGAATGCACTTTTTGACATAAGTAGTATTGTTAAACCCTTTGACATTCTTTCCAATCTTATCCGTATCAACGATCAACGTTAAATGACACTCTTGGATAACTTCTTTCTTTGTTCCGTTGGGTAGCTTAGCATAGTTTCTTGAAAAGAACATAAATATTGAAAAATTCCTATGATACATATTTATTTATAGAAGAAGCTGTAGAGGGATGAATATGGCCGTTTTATCCAGTCGTTTCTATCTTTGCAAGCCTGATTGCTTTTCATTTCATGAGACATCTTAATTGGGTATCCTTCCAGGACAATTCCATGTCCTATTTTTGTCTGGACAGTAATACTCCATTCGACCATCTTGTCGAATTAGATTCTGTTGCCATCTCCAATCAACCTCCATGCTTATTCCATTCAAATACATCCAGTATGCAACTAAACATTCCACAGCGCATATTTCTTTATCACTTGCCTGCCACTTATTATGTTGATGTGTAGCAAATCCTTGAGGTATTACTGCGGGATTTTTTGCCATAGTTAGCATATTTCTGATTCCTGTGTACATATTCATGTATGTCCACATCGTACTTGCTCGACCAAACGCAATCTGATCGGTTGTTCCCATGCGTTGAAGGCCGTGGTGAGTAACACAATAGTAGAACCATTCTTTGGCAGGATTTGGAATGATCACTTTGCCATGTGAAACTTCGTACAGAGCTGGAATAGCTCCCCACAGCATATGATCCGGACGCATGCGAAGAATATAATCGTACTGAATGCCGTGTTGTATCATGTACGCTGTTGCTTGCTGGCCAACCATATAAACAGATTTTATTTGAGAGATTATACGGTTGAGGCGCGCATCGCCACACGCCCGCTTAACATAGATAGCAGCGTCAGTCCATGTGTCTTCCACGCTATGGACACTCACAATAGAAACACTTTTTAGATATGTCCCATAGCATTTACGAAGATTTTCTTCTATGGATTTGTTCGTCGCGGGTTCAGACTGAAATACTTCCTCTAAGTACGTAACAATATGAACATCCGCTCCCTGCGATCCTGACCACTGAGACAAAATCTTTTGAACATGACTAGTGCATGTCTGCAGATACGTGCGTAAGAAACCACTAATGAGTACTGCCAATCGACCTTTGTCTTCTGTAGCGGA